TTTAGAATTATCTGAGACTGATTTAACATTGCAACCTGCCTCTAATGGAGGAAGTGTCTACCATTTCATTGATTGAATTCCAAAGGGAAGACGATAGCTCTGTCCAGAGAGCACTGAGTCTTTGTGAGCAAGAAAACAGCTTACAGTGATAAAAGCTGAGTGGGCAGCTTGTCTTCATGTTTAGTCATGCCTGTGAACCAAAAGAACTGAAGTCATGTGCTCTGCTCAAGGAGAAATGCCTCATACACAGGTATCAGAGAGGAAAGTATTTGACCAAAGCCAGACAAGCTCTGCCACAAAGACAGGCCAGGAAACTCTGAGTTGTTATTTCACCAGGAAGCAAGATAATTACTGAGTCCAAATTCTAAATAATTGCTGAAATTGTAATATTTTGCTTCATCTCATGAAGGTCATTATTTAGATACGAATACATACACGCACACATAACCCCAAGAACACAGTCACTAAAGGGCAACTGGGGAGATTCAGCAGCCCCAGGTCTGGGCATTTAGTCAAGTTGAAATCAGTGTATCAAAGAGATGTTTATATTCCCATTTTCATTGAAGCATTATTAATAGCCAAGACCTGGAAACAACCAAAGTATCGGTAACAGCACAAGCATGAATTTTCTGGACAGGGCTCCAGTAGCACAAAAAATAATCTGAAGAATCAACAAAAGGGATTATAGGAATTGGCTGAAGGAAACAGCCAATGGAATGGGTAGATAGCCTAGGTTATAGGCCCTACAGAATGGAAAAATATCTTTGCCAACCATATACGAGACAGGGAACTAATATCCAGGATATATGAAGAACTGTAAAAATTAGATACAAAGAAACCAGATTATACCATGAATGTCTGGATTAATTAAACAAACAGACAGTTCTCAAAGAAGAGATACAAATAGCCAACTGAAAGTGTTCAGCATCCCAAGGCATCATGGAAATGCAAATTAAAATGTCTCTGAGATTCTGTTGCAGCCAGCCCTAGTGGCTCATGCCTTCAATCCCAGCACTCAGGAGGCAGAGGCAAGTAGGCCTCTGTCTCAAAGATTCTGCTTCACCCCAGTCAGAATGGCTGTCAGTAAGGGAACAGACAATTAAAAAAAATTACTGGGGTTGAGGGAAGAGGAACCATTCTTCATTATTGGTAGGAATGTAAATTTGTATATCCATCATTGAAATCAGGGGCTGATTTTACTTGAAAAACTGACAGCGGGTCTATTATATTATCTAGGTATACCATACTGGGGCATATGCCCAAGGGACTCCAAGTTGACATATCACTAACCCCAAAATGGAACCAGCCTAGGTATTCATCAAAGGATGAACAGAAAAGAGTATGGGATACATATACACAATGGAATTTTATGCATTATAAAATCACCCATTTGCAGGCAAATGGATACAACTGGAAATCACTATATTAAGTGAAGTAAGCCAGACTCCGAAAGACAAGTACTGCATGCTTTCTCTCACATTTGGAACATGGACTTAAAATTATGTATTATATATACATATATATATATGTAAACAAAGAGAAACAAAGTGTATATAACAAATTAATGGATAACGTGATACACACACAATAAAAATTGATTCAGCCTTTACAAAGAGATTCTGTCATTTACCTCATGGATAGACACAGAAGACATCACAGGATCCTCCTGTTACAGGGTATTTGGTTTTGTTTGATTGTTTGTTTTTTGAGACAGGGTTTCTCTGGAACTCACTCTGTAACCAAGATGGCCTTGAACTCACAGAGATTCCCTTGCCTCTGCTTCCCAAGTGCTGGGATTAAAGGTGTGTGCCACCACTGCCTCACAATTTTTTATGGTTATTATTGTTGTATATGTTTTACAATTATCTTCTCCCAAAGGAAGGAGTCTTCATTCCTTTAAGAATGCCAGAGGCTGGAGAGATGGCTCAGTGGTTAAGAGCATTGGCTGCTCTTGCAGAGGTCCTGGGTTCAATTCCCAGCACCCACATGGTGGCTCATAATCGCCTATAGCTCCAGTTCTGGGGGTCTGATGATCTCTGTGGACACTGTTGCACACATAAGCTCTTGTAGATGCTCACACATACAAATATTTTATAATATTTTATGGAAAAAAGAATATCTTCCAAAGAACACAAGTTTTTATTTTGGTAAAGTCAATTTATTGATTTGATTGTTATATAGGTCTCTTCTTCAGTGTCCTATTTTAGAAATGGTCATCTAACAAAAAGCTATTAAGATTCTTCACAGTTGGGTAGTGGTGGTGCATGCATTTAATCCCAGCACTCAGGAGGCAGAGGCAGTCAGATCTCTGTGAGTTCGAGGCCAGCCTGGTCAACAGATAGAGTTCCAGTACCGCCAAGGCTACACACAGAGAGCCTGTCTTGAAAAAAAAAAAAAAAAGCAAAGCAAAACAAAACAAAATAGACTCTTCACATAAGTTTCCCTGAGACAATTTTTAAGGTCCGCTCTTATATTTAGGACTAAGAATTATTTTGAGCTAAATTTAGAAAATGGTATGAGGTTCCTGGCATGTTAAAGGTCATCCTCTGAGTTCCTGATTCAATAGGTCTGGGTGGGATTCAATGGGAATTTCCTATACTTCCCACGTGATGCTGAAACTGCAGAACCGGGGCCTGCTCCAGGGTTGAACATTGAAAACACCAGACAAGGGGAGGATTTCAAGCATGGCTGTTTATTAGACCGGAAAATGTTTTAAAAATCCAGATATATTGGTCACATCCAGATTAGCAATATCTAGGATCTCAGTGGAGAGCAGAAGCCTAGCTCAAACATCAGTGCCCTCAAAGGTTTCTAAAAGTGGCTGAGATTGAGGGCCACTGCTCTGCACTGAAGCAATCATCCCCAACCCATGCCATCAGTGTCCCTGCTGTATCCTGCAGGCTGTCAGAGGCAGTAAAAGGGTTAGGCTGTGAATGAAGAGCAAGCATTCTGGCAGGAAGGTTACGAAGAAAAGTGCTCACAATTGAGACCACAAACTTCTAGTTTTCTTCTAGATCCTCCTCCTCCTCCAACTTTCAGAGTAACATTATGCACGTGGAAATCATGACAGTTTTATAACTGTGTGAAGAAGGCAAAACAGGCATGACCATCAACAGTTTTTTAAACTGAAAACATAAGGCTGGCTAGATGGCTCAGTGGGTAAAAGGTGCTTGCTGGGTAAGCCTACTGATGTGAGTCCCATCTCCAGGGCCCACGTAGACTCTGACAGAAAAAGCTGACTCCATGAGTCATCTATATACAAAACAACAATAATAATAAGGAATTTTTTTTTAGTTTAAAGAAAAATTACACAGAGAAATTGAGATTGCACGAGGAACTAGGCTATGCCCCAGGCAAACACAAATCTCCAACAAGGGAGAGAAGAATGTTGGCAGAACAACCAGAGCTCTTCAGACAGCTCTGGGAATCACTTCAGAGACTCACTAGGCAAAGGAGCATGAGAATAAATACTCCAGAATATTCGGAGATGAAGTCATCTGGTCCATAGTAGCCATTTTACTAAGCAGAACTCTGGTTTCCCTAGGCAGGAAGAAAGTATGAGTTCAGTCTGGATATCACCTCACTGTGACCCTACCATTCCAACCAACCCACATATGTGCGCAATTCAGTGTCCTGCAGCATTTCAAGCATGTCCACTCATCTTGTCCTGCGTCATCCATCGCAGTAAAGGGCCAAGGTGTGAACCCTGGGAAATCACTCCTCTCCTCCCACCTCCTTCTCAGCTAAGCAGATCTGCTACAACTCTTTCTGCCTGTCTCGTTCTCCCCATTTCTTCAGCCACAGACTCAAAGCAAGCTCTCCCAGTGCTCTGCCTGGGGTTGTTTCCAAAGCTGTCTGTCCCCTGGCTTCCACTTGTGGCCCAGTTTCAATCTATTTGTAACTGCACCAGCCCTGGACAGCTCCCCAAACAGAAACTGTGTGTCAAGGCTTTGCTCCGTTTATTCTTCGTGAATCACCACCAAGCAGAGGATAGTCTCAAGTTCCAAGCTATCCAATTCATTTGTTTTACCCTCTGCCTCTTCTCACATTTCACCTTCCATCGCTCCTAATTTCAGCCAAGTTCGAGTTTTGTAGTTTTGCCAGCGCCTCCCTTGGCTTTGAGACTAATGCTTCCTTCCTGGAAGTGCTTTCCCTCTTCCATTGCCTAGCTGAAATTAATAGTCTGCTATAGTTGGCTCAGGCTGGTGCTTTTCTCTGGCCCCCTATTTTTACCTCCCTTTGATTCTTACATAGGTCTCTCTTAACCATGACAATGTCTGCTAGCACAACTGTATCCCTGGCTATGACCCTCCCTTAGGATAGCAGAAACACTGTCCTATTCAGTGTTTGGTATTAAATAGTCATTCAACAAATATTTGACAACTTAGTATACCCTGGATATTTTATGTGTAAGGACAAAGTAGTCAATAGAGCCAAGAGGGATACTTCCCTGTCATTAACTGGATAGAAGCATGTGAGATGCATGAGTGTATATATACACTCATGTATGGTGGTTTATGCCTTTAAATCTCAGCGCTTGAGAGGCAGAAGCAGGCAGATCTCTTTAGTTGTAGGCTAGCAACAAAAGCTATGAAGAGAACAAATAATAGTATGAAACTGAATAGAATGCTACTCAGGGAGGAGACTTGTAAGCTGATAAGGCAACCGGCGTTGAGGGTCGGTGGGTCTCAACGCCTAGGAAAATAGAGAAGCTAAGGACAGACAAGACGGGTGGGACGATGTAAACTTTGCAGCAGGGGAAGTTTTGATTGTGCTCCAAGCGTGGAGAGGGGCCTCGTCTGGTTTACATCTTTACGAAGGTCGCTCTGAGACTACGTGGCAGAGGCCTGAAAGGAAACTGAAACCCGAAGCTCCAGTGGCTCGGAATGGGCGGCGGCCGCAGTTAGAGGGAGCCGAACGGGAACCGGGGATTTACGCAGTTAAAAAGGCTATTGCCAGCAGCAGCGCCCAGAGCGGCCCGGCCGCCCAGAGTCCCAGCCCAGCGCTCCGCGGGAGGGGCCGGAAGAGGAAGTCGGGACTGCACCCCAGAGGTCCGGGTACCGCCAGCGCCGCCTGCGCCCAGCTGCCCGCCTCGGGATGGGGCCGCTGCCCTCGCTGCACGCTCCTGCGGCCGCCCTGCTCTGGAGCTGCTTGCTGGGACTGGTGAGAGCCGCACTCCCCTCCCCTCCCCTCAGCTTTTCCCTCCCCTTCCTCCTTTCTCCCCTCCCTTCTCCCTCTTCCCCTCCCCCCCTCCTGCCCTCCACCTCCGCACCCCCTCGGCCCTCTAATTGTGCTCACCTGCGAGTCCCAGCATTCCTCACCCCCCTGTGCCCAGAAATCCTGCAAAATACGCACCCCGGAAGAAGCCCGCGGGGGTGGAGGGGCTTCTTTCACCTTGGTCCTGAAGCTGTCCCTGTAATTTTTCAGCGTGCCGGCACATTTTCTTTTTAATTTAAATAATTCACTTCTGTTTTATTGTGTAACCCTACTTACTGCTGCTTTTTGCCCTGAAAAGGGGGTGGGGGGCGGAGGCAGGGTAGAGATAGACTGAATTCCAGTGTTAGCGTTCTGGAGTGCTCTTTATTTAACTGTGTTCACATACATTTCTCTCTATAACCATAAGAATATCTATGTGCTTACTTTCCATTCCCATACAGTTATTTCTCTGTAAGGTGCATGTGGGAATTTGTTTTGTGCTTTTGTTTTCTTATAGGCATACTTTAAAATCCCTTTAAAGAGAAAGTATAAAAGTGGCCCTTGGAGGTTCTTAGTTTGAAGCTTAAAGGGGTAGAAGAAGAAGAAAAAAAAATTAACAGATATGTGCACATATACCCATATTTACAGAAATAATGTTTTAAAATTCGGCATCAGGTAATTTGAGTTCTAACAGATGACCAAGAAGCCAACTTTCAGTATGTCAGATTTTGTTTCTATTCACTTTCCTTTCTGGAGTTTCAGGTTGGGACATTTAATCAGTGTTGTTTGCACATTGTTGTGTAAACAGTATATGCAGTCTTTTCCCGGAGAAATTAACTCCACTGAAGCACTATGACTTTACCACTTTGGGTTTTAAAGGGTCAGGCAGAAAGTCTTAAGCTCAAAACCTACTAAGGAAAAACAACAACAACGAAAAAAGAGTAGCCTTTAGTGTTCTCTGAACTATAAGTGAGAACTCATACAAAAGAAGGGAGAAGTAACAACACAGTGGCATTACTTTGTGTCTTTAAGGTGTGTGCTGAGTAATCAGACAAGTGACTTTAGGTTCGAAAGAACAACTCAGAGGGTTTATAAATGTCCTGAACCTATAATTTATATGTTAAACTTAGCACTCATGTTGAACCTCTTAAGATGATTAAGAAAAAAAAATGTTTACACACTTATATCATAATTCCACTAATCCTTTTTCAAGATAAATCAATATTTAACACAGTAATACATCATCTTTTGATTAACCACATTGTCCAGCAGTGGTGGCATATGCCTCTTACAACACTCTGGAGGCAGAGGCAGGCGGATCTCTGAGTTTGAGGCCAGCATGGTCTGCAGAGTGAAGTTCTAGAACAGCCAAGGCACACACAGAAATATAAGAATTGATAAACCCACACAGTGGTTAGTAGAGAACATGGAAAATCTAATGGCATGGATACATGGGGTAATGGGTTACATATTTATCAAGACGTCTTTAAGTACTGCCATTGCTTGCTTGGCTTTTTTCTTCTCTGAAATAGGGTCTTGTGTAGCATAGGCTGACCTTGAGGTACCCAAGAAGGGCCCTGGACTTCTGATTGTCCTGAGTGCAGGGATTATAGGCATGGACCACCAAACTCAAACCCAATGCCTTCATGAATTGAAGGCAAGCGCCCTACCAACTGAGCTTCATCCCTAGCCTCTGAAGGGTATTTTTTTTTTTTTTTTTTTTTAATGGTTAGGGGTGGAATGGTGATCTGTTCCCATGGTTACAGCTTTAAACATGCCCCATTTCTGGACAAATTGCAGGGATTCCAAATAGTTTTGTAGTGCTTGTGCCTCTGATTCTCATCTAAAAGCTCTAAAAGCATCCAGCAATGCTTGTGTGATACAGTGTGAACCACTATGCTGCCAGGACATTACCTCTTTCAGGTTAGTCCTTTAAGCTCCGCTTCCCACACTGAGTATGGACACAATGAAGACAAATTCTTTGCCAGACTTCTGCAAACTAATGGCAGTGGCGTATCAGCCATGTTGTCAGCTATAGTCATAAGCAACAATCTTCCTGTTTTCTCAGTTAGCTTTCTGCCACTATGACAAAATGCTTCAGACAAGATGCCTTTTTAATGCCTTAAAAAGAAGAACGAAGCTGGGCAATGGGGGCACATGACTTTAATCCCAGCACTTGGGAGACAAAGGCAGGAAGATTTCTCTGAGTTCCAGGCCAGCCTGATCTATAGAGCGAGTTCTGGGACAGTAGGACCCCACAGATAAATCCCGTCTTGGAAAAGCAACTGAATGTGTGCTTTAGCTCTGAAGGTTTGCTGTTTTATTTTGTGTATGCTTGTGTATGTCTGGCCACTCGTGCCTTGCTGTGCCACAGCCCAGGTGGAAGTCAAGAATTCAACTTGCAGGGTTTTGTTTTCTGTTCACCATGTGGGGCCCAGGTATGGAACTCTGGTCATTAGTGTTGGCTGCTTGTGTTTTCACCTGCTGACTCATCTCCGTGAACCTCTTTCTCTTCTTTGTGAATTTTGAGATAAAATTGCTCATGGAGAAGACAGGAAGAAATCATGTTGAAGGAGGTGGATGATGGGAGCAGTATTCTAAACATTTGAAGATGTCTGCATGTCTCCCATGCCCACCCCCCACTTACCTTTACCTTATTAATATTCTCTTCCATCACTTTGTCCTTTTTCCTATCTTTTTGGCAATGGGAAGTAAGACAAAAATAAAAGTATTCTAGTTCTTTTTTGAAGGTTACTTTTGTTGTCTTATTTGTTTGTTTGTGGGGTATATGTCAGGGCATATGTGTCATGCTAAAGGACAACTCATGGGGGTCGTTTCTCTCCTTCCCCCATGTGGGTCCTGGGCTCAAACTCAGATGGTCATTTTTGGTGACAAGTGCAGTTACTAACTGAGCTATCTTGCCAGTCCTTCTAGATCTCTTTATGTTATTTATTCATTTATTTTTGATTGTTTTGAGACAGGGTCTCTCTATATAGCCCTGGCTGTTCTGGAACTCACTCTGTAGACTAGGCTGGCCTTAAACTCAGAGATCCATCTGACTCTGCCTCCCAAGTGCTGGGATTAAAGGCATTGACCACCATCACCTGACAGGCAATTTCTCTCTTAAACTCTGTCTTGGTATATTTGAATAGGCAGTTGGAATGTGAACATTGAAGTCATAACTCACAAAAGAGTGACGAGAAGAGTGTCACGCTGAGAGGGCAGGCTGGCATTATTACATCACAGCAAGAGCCTTCCCAGGGATGTGGCCCTTAAAACAAGGGTCCTGGTTATTCTTGTAAGAAATTCTCTTCCCCAAAGAATGAGCTCTAGACAAATGTGTATAGTTTCATTATTCCTGAGCTGTTTACATAAGCGTAAATAAACTTATCAGAGGACTTGCCCTCTTTAGGACATGTGGTCAAACCTGCATATAAATAGTTTTATTAAAAGCCTGTTTGTGAGCGTCACCATGAAAGCTGTTGTTTGTATTTTAGACGGCTGCTCAGGAAGCCATCCTGCACGCGTCTGCAAATGGTGAATCTTCACTTTCCAAGGACTATTGCATGCATTATAACCCCAAATGGACAAGGCTTCCAAGTTCCCTAGAAAATGCAGTAAGTAAATAACATGATAATTATTCATAATAAAATATTGAATATGACTAATAACTATATTTTAGGGTGTGACTCAGTTATGGTATTTGGTGATTAAATACTTTATTGACTTTAGTCCAGTGTTTTCCTCTCCATAAAAGAAATAATTTAGGGAATTTTTTGGCTTTTTAGTCATAGTCTCACTAAATAGATTTTTGACTACCCTGGAACTCATTATTGTCAACCAGGCTGGCCTCAGAGTCTTGGAGATCTCCTTGTCTCTGCTTCTAGAGGGCTAACGTTATAGACATGTTCCGCTGTGCTGGGAATGATTAAAGATAACTTACTTATTTTGACTTTGTGTATATAGTGTTTTGCCTGCATGTATATCTGTATACTACATGCAGGCCTAGTGCCTGCAGAGGCCGCAAGAGGTTGTCAGATCCCTGGAGTTGGAGATGGTTGTGAGATGGCATGTGGGAGCTGGGAAGTGAACCTGGGCCCTCTGGAAGAGCAACCAGTATTCTAAGTTGCTGAGCCATCTCTCTGACCCCAGATTTGGGAAATTTTGACATCTGTGCATCTCTAATCCTTGTTGTCTGTCATAAAGTTGGTTTTGTTGGTTAACTCAGGCATAATAAGTGCATGCTCTACCCTTGAGCTACATCTCAGCCCCTAAGGAACATTGTACTGAACCAGGATTGATGTTTTGTCCCTGAATGCTGGTAGGTGAAATGAGCTATGTGTCTTATTAAAAAATGTTTCTTCATTTCAGACTTCCCTTAGCTTGATGAATCTGACTGGCACGCCACTGTGCCACCCTTCTGATATTCCTCCTGATGGCATAAGGAACAAGGCAGTGGTGGTACAATGGGGACCCTGCAATTTTCTCGAAAAAGCCAAGATTGCACAGCAGGGTGGTGCTGAAGCATTGCTGATTGCCAACAGCAGTGTCCTAGTAAGTGCTCAAACCGAGTGACTTCTGGTGAGCCTATGGGAGAGCAAGTCTCCTGGGAACTGACTTAACTGTGTGTGTGTTCTAGAAGCTGAATGTTTAATAATCCTGTAGATTATTTTTTATTAATAAATGTTCTAGATTTATTAATAAAACATTCCAGTCATAAAGTTTTGTAGTTTTTGCTGTATTTCTGGAGTTGAGACAATTGGAGTCTTAGAGTTCAGAAACTTATATATGTGTATGTTGTATGTTTATACAGTGTCTATACCATATGGTGTCATATATGTTATATATCTGGTTAAGTTCATGTTAAAAGGATTTTGTTTTGAGAACTTATATATTGTTAAGAAATAATATTGAAGCTTTGTTTTTTATAATTAGTATAATATTTGCATTTAGTGTATCAATTTTTATTCTGTAAATGTATTAGTAATTAATCAAGTTTCGTATTTTTTTCTTTTAGCTTCCTTCCTCCAGGAACAGATCTGAATTCCAAAATATGACTATATTAATTGCAGTTATAAGCCAAAAAGACTTACAAGATATGCAGCAGGTTAGTAATTGCGTATTAGATGGGTATAAGTGGTACAGTTGTTTGCATTTGATCACTGTACTCGATTTCGATTATTACTCGTTCTCCACGTGCTAACAAGGAGCTTGAAGGACTGAATGAGCCCCTAATTGTCCAGTCTTCCCAGATGTCTGATGAAATGTAGATGTTGCTGCTGTGCTCTCGCAGATTCATTCCTGTGTTTAACTGTCACTTTGCCCTTCAGACTCTTGGAGATAACATTACCGTGCAAATGTATTCTCCATCCTGGCCTAACTTTGACTATACTATGGTGGTTATTTTTGTAATTGCTGTGTTCACTGTGGCATTAGGAGGATACTGGAGTGGACTCATTGAATTGTAAGTTTAATTAAACTCTTTATGGCTTCCTGATAAATGGTTTTTAAATAATGTTTCATGATAATCTTAATAGCGAGAATAAATACTTGTTTTACCTCAGTATGTGGTGCCATTAAGACCAGATTGTAAGATTGTCTTTTTTACTAATAGGAAGGTTGTAGCCATATGAGTTATTGTTCCTAAGGAAACACTTAACTCACATCAAACACTCTGTGGATGCTCAATGAAGAGACTCAGTGGATAAAGTGTCTACTGCACAAGTGTGAGGACCTGAGTTCAAAACCCTAGAACTCACATAAAGCTGGACACAGTTGTATGTGTCTGTAACCTGAGTGCTCCCACAGCAAGATGGGAATCTTTGGATGCTTGAAGGCCAGTTAGACCTGTCTCAAACAGGGAAGACAACAAGGGTCAAGGACTGACCCCTGAGGTTGTCTTCTGATATCCACACACCTATTGTGTGTGCACTCACGCACAGACACACACAGAGAGAATAGTCTCACAGAGTGAGCTGGGAATATAGCTCACTAGTAGCACTTTTACCTAGTGTTTTTAATTTTTGCCGAGTTGTTTGAACCACTGCACTCCCAAAAGAATATAATTAATGGTAATATTTAATGTATAAATCAGGTAGCTGGTTCCCTGTTAGGAAATTGTTTTATAAAAGTGATGTATGGTGGTTCATGCCCATAATAATCACAGCACTTGAGAAGTGAAGGTCATTCTTGGCTACATACTGAGTTCTAGGCCAGCCTGGGCTACTTATGACCCTGTTCTAGTGCCCCACCCCCAAATCAAGTACTTTATGTTAGGTGTGGTGGTTCACACCTTTAACCCCACTGCTCCCAAGTCTGGGTAAGGAGGATCATGAGTTTGAAAGTACCCCGGGTTACATATTAAGTTTAGGGTTAGCTTGTGCTACAAAGCAAGAATGTGTTTCAGAAGGGGGAGTGCCTTATGCTCTTTAATATGTGGATATGAATATGTGAATCATTATGGCTTACATGTCTAGTTCTGTAAATATGTTTTATTTATTTTCAATGACAGATACCAAAGGCTGGCCCCTTTTTCCACTTAGGTACCATATTACTAAAACTTCTGTTAATGCCCCAACATCCTGATCTAGAGTCCAGGGGAACCAATCTTGCTCTGTCTCCAGGCAACCTGTCTAGAGTCGCAGATGCCACACAATTGAGACCGCGACAATCATCTGTAATTTCCTGATGGGAAAGTAGTGTGTTGGTTAACAGTTGCAAATGTGAAAATGTTCAGACATAAAATCTTATGTAGCCTAAAATCTGAGCCTAAAATATGAGCCCAGGCTTTGTGATCAGGGCCAGAAGATGCACACAAGGGAGTTGAACAGGGCAGAGGTGAAGAAACTAGGGCTGGGAACATGGAGTAGGGTCTGTGTAACGGGATGACACAGTGATGTGACAGCAGAGACAGTAAGCTGTCTACTTACCAAAGCCACCTGCTGCCCCTTTCTCTTTGACACCTGTCTCTGCCTTTTATTAGTAAGGTGATTACTTGGGAGAATTCATAAAAAGTAACACAGGTAGGACAGGGCTGTATCTGGGAATTTAAAAATTCTTCCAAATGCATTAATGAACACAGAATAGACATATAGTGAATACTGAGTTTACTCATTAACAAAATACATTAACTTGTTAGTATAATAAATGTCATCTGTTCTAACAGTTTTGTAAAATATCTTATTTCAAATTTGTGGGATGACAGATTGTCTCTGGAGAGTACGAATATAGGGTGTTTTAGTTTCTAGATTAAATGTTTCTTTCTGGTACTATTTATTTGCTTCTTTCTTTCTTTCTTTCTTTCTTTATTATTTATTTATTTATTTGTGTTTTGAGATGGGGTGTCTCTATAACAACCCTGGCTGTCCTGGAACTCACAGAGATCCACCTGCCTCTGCCCCCCCAAGTGCTGAGATTAAAGGCTTGAGCCACCACCACACCACTGGTACTTTTTAAAAGTGTGTTGCCTTTGTAGTTAAACTTAAATTGGTGTTAGAGAAGGACTTTTTAAAAAATAACTGAGCTTGGTAAAGACTTGCTGATGGTTCTGTGTGTGTTTATACAGGGAAAACATGAAGTCAGTGGCAGATGCTGACGATAAAGAGATGAGGAGAAAGAAGGAAGAGTATTTGACTTTCAGCCCTCTTACAGTTGTTGTGTTTGTGGTCATCTGCTGTGTAATGATCGTCTTGCTCTATTTCTTCTATAAGTGGCTTGGTAAGAAACTGGATTTTAGGGCTGGAGAGATGGCTCAGCCATTAAAGGCTAAGCTTATAGCCAAAAATATAACAAACTGGATTTTATGTGTGCTGTATTGAACATTTCCCCCCCATTTACATTACTAGAATCATCTTTCCATTTAAAACATTCATCTGAAAATTATGTTAAATAAAAAAAATCAGAACAAGTAAATAATGTAAATAATTTGCTTAATGTGCAAAAAATGTCAGGTTTCAATTACTGAGCTACTTCAAATTTCAAATAACAAATTACACACACACACACATACACACTCACTAGTATATATCAGGAGGCTGAGGTTGGATGACTGACATACGTGTGGGGCCAGCCTGGGATATGTAGTAATTTCTAGGCCAACCTAGGCTGCAGAACTATGCATGAGATCCTATCTCAAGATACTGAAGAATTGGGGCTGAAGAGATGGTTCAGCTGCTGAGACCATGGACTCTTGTGAAGGATCCATTTGGTTCCTAGTACCACGTCAGGCAGCTCACAGCCAACTGTCACTGTAGCTCCAGGGGTCCAATGCCCCTGGGCTCCTCAGGCACTTGTAGAAACATGTACATACCCATACACAGGTACACATACATACATATAATTAAAAATAATTTTTAAAGAGGATTTACAAGTGAAATTTTTGATGTGAGAAGGAAATCATTCAACTTCCTAATTATCCCAGGACATGGGACTAAATTAAGATTGGCCAGTGTCTTTTGTAGTGTTTTGAAATTTTGTTTGCCCAAAATGAGTCTTCATGGCTAAGATGGCTGCTATTTCCTAGTGTATTATAATAACTGACATAATTGAACTGAATTGCTAAGGCTTCCCTCACTATCTGAGGATTCAGATATACTTAGGAAAAAGATAACTGGTGTTCATCTTGAGTCTGCATTCCAGTAAACTTCTTACATTTAAAACAAAACCAACTGGAAATGTGTTATGATAATAAGGTTCTTCTTCACATGGGATCATTTTCTAAGTGGTAGTACACTACTGGACGAGGCTCTAAAGCTCTGTGATGACCTTGGGAAACATGCCCTGCCAGGCTGTTAAAATTTAGGTTGGGCAACTTGGCAGAAGGTATACCAAGACTTCCATGAAGGGTCTGTCTTGCCCCTCTTAGCACACTAATCACCAGTGTGCATACACTTTATACACATTTGCTTATCTAATCCTCACAACAACCCAGTGTACTTCTCATGAACTTGATGTGTTAGATATGAGCACCAGGGGACTTAGAGTGGCTTATCGAACTTCACTCAGAACCAGGATACCCCAAATTTACTCTATTTAGACCATCTCTGTTTCTTACTTCCACACTGAGGTACAGCTTATATTTCTATCACAATATTTTCTAGAAAGTTCAGAAAAGGAATATTGTAAGTATAATAATCCTACCTCCTTTATAACAACACAGAGGCAAAATATCTTTAAATAATTTTCAAATAAGTCTGGATAATATAGAATGCTTGTTAAATTTTACTACCTTGGTATTCCATTGCAACAAAGTGTCTTTGCATGGATTTGAGTGTTTTGTTTGTGTGTGTGTATGTGTGTGTGTATGTGTGCGGGCTCCCCTTGAGGCGGCATCTTACTGTGTAGTTCTGGCTAGACCAGTACTTTCTGCACAGCCCAGGCTATTCTTTAACTGGTGGTTACTATGCCACCAATGTTGACATAAGTCAAATTGTTGTAGATAAATTCTCTATAGGAAAACATGGATAACATGGTTGATACCCAAGGCATATATTTGTTCTCATTCCTAAATTGCATTACTAAAATATTAATAGTTTGTTAATTCAAAGCCAGGCCCAGTGGCACACACCTTTAATCCCAGCACTAGGGAGGCACAGGCAGGCAGATCTCTACAAATTCATGTCTATACATGTGTATATAGCAAGTTCAAGGTCAGACAGGGCTACCAAAATTTTTTGTTTCTTAATCTATCTTGGGATATAACTCAGTTAGTAGTGTACCTTCCTAGTATGCACAAAGCCCTGGGTTCAATCCCAGGTGTCAAATAAGCTGGGTATGATGATGCACCTGTAACCTCAGGTAGAGACAAGAGGCTTTCAAGGCCATTCCTGACTAAATAGCCATTTTGAGCTACTTGAGACATGTCTCAAAGCACAAAAAGGTCTGGAGGAATAGTTATGTTGGTGAAGTGCCTACTATGCAAACAAGACCAGAGTTCAGTCCTAGAACCATGTAGAAAAATCCCTATGTGATGGTACAGTCTTGTACTTCAAGCATGGGTTGGTAGAAACAGGTTGACCCCTGGAGCTTGCTGAGCAGTCAGAGTTGTCTGCTTGGCAAACTTCCAGGCCAGTGACTCACTGTGTTTCAAAAGTAAAACAAACAGAAGAAAAACGAGACATCTGAGAAATAAAACTGTGGTTGTTTTCTGGCCTCTATACATATCCAAATACATGTATGCACCTTCATACATACAAACAAACATACATATGCACAAAAGTCTATCAGTCCTTTTGTTCTTACATTTAAATATTTATAAATATCTGTAATTAATGTCATAGAAACTTATAACAAACATGTCACTTTGAATTATTGAAAAGTAGAAAATGTAGATCTTCAGCCAGTAAACACTTCCCTAGCAGTGTATATTGCAACTAAAAATCACATGCAACATGCCCCACTTTAAAACTCAAGCTATAAATATTTGCAGCTTAGCAAATACCCCCAGATAACATTATAGTTACTATATTGAAAATATGATATAACAAAGGGAGCTAAAGAATTGATAACTGTATTGTTCTTTTCCAGTTTATGTTATGATAGCAATTTTCTGCATAGCATCAGCAATGAGTCTGTACAACTGTCTTGCTGCGTTGGTTCATAGGATGCCATGTGGACAGTGCACGTATGTATCTCTTGGAGAATGAATGCTGTAATTCATATTTGAACTTAATACAGGAAAATTGAGGTGTTGCTTTAGGTCTGTATATTCAGTATATGTTAGATCCAAATTTATATTCAATAATGTGTTTGGGATTTGTTTTGCTTTTTTTTTTTTTTTTTTTTTTTTTTTGAAGCAGGGTTTCTGTGTTCTGACTGTCCTGGAACTCGCTCTGTAGACCAGGCTGTCCTCAAACTCACAGAGATCCACCTGCCTCTGCCTCCTGAGTACTGTGATTAAAGGCATGCACCAGTACTACCCAACTTGTGTTTGAGATTTTCAAATTGAATCCCTGAGGTACATTTGAAGTGTTCAGTAGTCATATAGTCATATGTGGCTAATTGCCATCAATATTGGAAAACATAGAGAACATTCCATTGCCATAAAGGGTTTTGTTGAACTAGTTATTATGCCTCATTGGTTTTATGTAAAATCATGACATCTATATTAATATTTCAATAATTTCTTGTTCATGTTTGTCGCAGTTTTTTTTTTTTAATCAAGTAAACACTGTATTTTACCTATAGCACTAATGAACTATTTTGATCTATTTTTAGGATTTCCTGTTGCGGCAAAAATATTAAAGTGATCTTGGTTTTCCTCTCTGGACTGTGCATCTCTGTCGCTGTTGTGTGGGCTGTGTTTAGAAATGAGGATAGGTATGATGACTTTAGTTTGTTTTAGATTTAAGGATGTGGTGTTTTATGTCTTGTCCTGACTCTTAATCATTATGATGAGTATTATGGAAATTTTTGTTTGTTTTTTATTCCAGAACATATCTTAAAACAAGGCAATTTTGTTTTCTTTGTTTCTCTGTGTAGCCCTGGCTGTCCTGGAGCTCACTCTGTAGCTCAGGCTGGTCTCAAACTCAAAGATCTGCCTACCTCTGCCTCGTAAGTGCTAGGATTAAAGGTGTGTGACATCCACACTGGGCTGATAATTTTTCAATGAATACTTTATTTAACAGGATCTCTGTTTGTGCCCCTTACTAACTTGGAACTTGCCATGTAAACCACTCTGGCCTTGAATTTGCAATGACCTGCTTTCCTCTGTCACCAGTGTGTAGAGGTTACAGGTATAAGCCACCAAACCCAGTTAATAAACAGATCTTAGGCTAATGATTTGCAATTGTACAGGGAAGGAAATTGAATTATGCTTTAAACACCTAGACTTAAAATGTGCTTGATTATGATGTGTTCCTGTGGAATGCCGTAATGAGAATGGTATAGCCTTAATGATGTAGTTGTTTAACTTTCATCTAAAAGTAATGGAATGAAACAATAGGTTGATCTCTTTCTCTCTCTCTCTCTCATTATAGATGGGCCTGGATTTTACAGGATATCTTAGGAATTGCTTTCTGTCTCAATTTAATAAAAACAATGAAGTTACCTAATTTCAAGGTAAAATATATTACTTTTATAACTATAATAACATTTTTCTTTTTAAAACAGTATGATTTGCATATACTAGAACATGCTGATTTTAATTACACTATTGAAATGTTGCACGTGTATGTATTGCTTTTGTAACTTCCATCCGAATAAGCTTCAGACCATTCCCAGTCTTCAGAGTTCATCCTGCCTGTCTGTTCTCACTTCTAACTCCAAAGCAAGGACAGCTACTGAGTTGCTAGCTGAATGTTTTTCATCACTCATACTCATTTAATAAAACTTCATAAGACTAAATATTGGGGAAGAGCATTTCTCTTTAAAATAATTTATTTTTATTTTATGAGCATTGATTGGTGTTTTGCCTGCATATATGTCTGTATGAGGTGTCAGATCCTTTGGAATTGGAGTTACAGACAGTTGTGAGCTACCATGTGGGTGCTGGGAATTGAACCGTGGTCCTCTGGAAGAGCAGCTAGTTTTCCCAGTCACTGAGCCATCTCTTCAGCCCCCATGAGGAAGAACATTCTTCAACTCAATGATGTTTTTAAGCAAATGGGATACAGAAAGTAAGGATTCTTAAATGATGTATAAAATAAAATTAAGCATAGTAATACCCATGAAATGCCTTTTAAAATACTGTTCAAATGTATATTCCCATGCTTACTTATATTTGCAAAGTAATTTGATGTGTTAGTTTAGATGTGGAAAGTTTGATCTTTTAACCCCCTCCTTTTTTTCCCAACAGTCATGTGTGATACTGCTAGGCCTTCTCCTGGTCTATGATGTGTTTTTTGTCTTCGTAACACCATTCATCACAAAGGTATAACATACATGCATTTTAAATTCATGTTGTAGCATTAAAAAAGATGAAGTTGATTTTAAAATCCATTTGTTTACTTTGAGATGTAGAGAACTCTCCATGTACCACAGGCTGGCCTTGAACTCACAGATCTGCCTGCCTCTAGATTAAACGGTACCACACACCGTTCCTTAAGTTTTTAAAAGTTTATTTTTATTTTATGTGTGTATGTGAGTACCTGCATGTATGTATGTGTACCCCATGCATGCCTGGTGCTCATGGAGGCCAGCAGAGGGCGTTCTTTCCTCTAGAACTGCAATTCCAGGCTTCTGTAAGCCACCCTTTGTGGGTGTAGGAACCCAGGTCCTTTGCAAGAGCAGTGGGTGCTCTCAAGAGCAGTGGGTGCTCTCAATGCTGAGCTATCTTGCCAGCCTGGAGAAAAGAACTATAACTTTCTTCAGAGAGTGCTGGTTTTGCAGATTGTGTAACTTAGAGTGAACTTTAATTCCCTGAAGGGAATTGCCTTTTAGTAGAGGGTATTTCAAGCTTTTAATTGCTAGAGAAAATAAAGAACTTGTGATTAGTATAAAGTGAGAATGTCCAATTTTTCTTTCCTTTTAAAAGTAAGTTTTTCTTATCATCAATGTCTACTGTGGACAGTTTAGAGAGAGGAAAGAAAGGGAGAGAAATGTGTCATTGTTGCCTTCATATCTGAGAACCAAGAACAGCACACCAACTCTGCAGGCCTGGAGTGTAGTACCTGGTAACCCATCCTGTGCATTTTAAATATCCCTTGTGCTTCAGGGTCCCTGTCTACTGAGTGAGAAGCCATGCTAGCTTTCTGTAGTTGAATTGTTTTTTTTTTTTTTTTTTTTTTTTTTTTTTTTTTACTTCAGTGGTAGAACCCAACTTGATCCACCTGCCTCTGCCTCCTGAGTGCTAGGATTAAAGGCGTGTACCACCACCTCCTGCTCCAGTTTGATTTTTTCTGTACCAAAAAGGTCCCCTGTATCCAGGCTAGTCATTGAGGTCAGGGTGAGGCTGACCTCACTAGAAATTCAACCCAGGGCCCTTCACTCTCACTTTTTATTTCTGTCTATTTTGTCTGTTCTGTTTCTGGGGCTCATAAGTCATACATTCTCCATTTTACCTTCAACTCCTTAAGAATTTAAGGAGGAGTTTTGTGTGAGTTGTCTGTTATCGTCCCTTGACATTTTTTCATATTACAAACATATTATTTAGTTTTCCTGCTTTCGCTATCTTTTTTTGAGGGAGAAGGGTCTGAGACAGGGTTTCTCTGGGTAGCTTTGGAGCCTGCCCTAGAACTTGATCTGTAGACCAGGCTGTCCTTGAACTCACAGAGATCCCCATCTCAGCCTCCTGAGTGCTGAGATTAAAGGCGTGCACCACCATCATGCAACATTTTATGTTGTACCTTGCCTTGTAACCTTATGTTGGCCCTTTATTCTTTGTGTCTCTTAGCTATTCTGTATTCACAGTGACCCTTTCTTCCCATTGGGTTTTATTATTGTTAGTGCTGTGCTCAGGATAGAACTCAGGACCTGTGTATTTTAGGCAAGTACTCTACCACTAACCTACATCTTAGCCCCCTCCATTGGGATTTTATCATTTCTTTAGATAATATCATGTCTGAAACCACTGCAAAAACTATACTTCTGACACTTACTGCCAGAATTGCACCTAGGAAATAAAGATGCCTTTAATCCCAGCACTCAGGAGGCAGAGGTAGGCAGATCTCCATGAGTTCAAAGCCGGCCTGGTCTACAGGAGTTCCAGGACAGCCAGAGCTATACAGAAAGATCCTATCACAAAAAACAAACAAAACAAAATTGAAACTATCACAAAGTATTACTACCCAGACTATTTTGCAAACACTTCCCAATGCCTTAAGGTGAGTAGTTTAACTCAGTGTTACTGAGCAACAGTAAACTTAAAAAAGAAAAGGAAAGGAAAACATTAAATTAGCATTGTGAATTTTAATGAAAACTGGGCACTTTTAAAAAGCATGTTTTCAAGCCAGACAAAACAGAACGTGCCTATAATTCAGGAGGCTGAGGCAGGAGGATTGCCATAGTTGCAAGCCAGCCTAGTTTGCAAATCAGGCTCCAGGACAGCCAGGACTGCATAGTGAGATCTGAGCCAAAAACAGTTGTCCAAGCTTGTATTCATTTATTTGGTACAAAACAGTCTTGTAGAATACACCATCCTGTAATAAAAGTGAAACTTTGTTGATTCCAGCGCAGACCTTTAATCCCAGCCCTCTGGAAGTAGAGGTAAGCAGTTGTCTAGGAGTTCAAGGACATCCTGGTCTACTACAGAGTGAGTTCCAGGACAGCCAGGACTAAGTGAAACTCCCTGTTTCAAAAAGCAGGCAAACAAGTGAAAACATTGTCTTCATAAAGCCCCTCTGAGGCCAGCAGTTAGCCCACAACATGTACTGATGTGCAGCTACACATGGGCTTTATATAGCTGGGGCTGCAGAGTACGGTTTTTCCACCTTAAACCCGGTATCACTTCAATGTCAGATTAAAATTTAAAGACAGGCCAAGGATGGAGGTCTTTTACTCTTTCTTGTCTGACTAGGACATTTTTCATCCTTTTTGTTTTGTTTTGTTTTTTGTTATAGGCTTGTGATTTCTAGCATTCTGCTGTAGTAGAGTCAACTGGAGGTACTCTTTGGAACTCATTTTTGTAAATGTTTGTTTAATACCTTCTTGGTTTTCAGTTTTGAGCTTTTTCTTGTTAAGTAACTAAAAATGAATATCAGATGCTCATTCCTGATTTTTTACAGTTTTCATTAAAATTCAGCTTTGTGTGTCTTCTAGTCTTCTCCCTAGTCTCCTGATGCAATTTTTTTTTTTTTTTTTTTTTTTTTTTTTTGGTATGAAACATAAAAGTAGATTCGTCAAGCTGAGGGCGTATACCTTTATCAGAGGCAGGAGGACCAGGAGTTCCGAATCATTCTTGGCTACATAAACAATAACAAAAAGAATGCTTTGTGCATTTTAGCCTGCTACCTCAAAGTTTCAGTTTTAAGCAGACCAGGCTACAGGAGAAAACGTTGTAATGAACACCTGTCTAGCCTGCAGAAAAGACTTTAGCAGACTGAGGATCTCAACTACCACTCAGGAAAATTCTATGATTGGAACAAAGGAAGGAGGCAGGATTGAATCTCAATGGGAATTGGGCTGGAGAAGGTTCACATATTCTATAAGGTTGGGTCTTTTCAAATTTGACTTCACAGTTTTGTTGTGGTAAATACCCAGAAGGTCAAATGCATATTTTTTTCACATAAGATTACTTACATTTGGTAGAAAGCTAAATTTAAAGGATTTTAGTATCTCTCTCTTTTTTTCTTTTCTGATGTTGAAAATGACTAAGAACCATAGTATACGTAGTTTAAAAAATTGAAATACTTAAAAGTTTATAATGAATTAACATGTTGGATGTTAGTCAGTATAATACACATCTCCAGATACACTTGAATAATCTGTGTTTGGTATTTATGCCAATCTGATAATTATTGAGCTCCAGTAAAGTGAAGTAGTGTGCTAGCTGAATTTTGTTTCAGGTGACTGCAGTTTCTGCAGTTTCTAGAGTCTGAGGAAGAAGCAGTTGATAGCCCATGTTTAGCTGGCACTAGGCTGTGTGCCATGGGCTGTCAATCATACTTGCATTGTGGCAGGTTGTTTTCTTTAGAAGACTAAACAACATCTCATACCTTCCTCCCTTTAGAACGGCGAGAGCATCATGGTGGAACTTGCTGCTGGGCCTTTTGGGAATGCTGAAAAGGTGGGGATGATATAAACAGCAGTGTCCAGCCAGTTAGTGTCTGCCTGTCTGTTTCATAATTTTGCCTTCCTCCTGTAACTCATTGGTCATGGGTGCATGTTAAGATGTTATAAAACTTATTTCTCACAAATATAGCCATTTTTTAGTTATTCTAAATTATTAAATACCTATTGACTTGGGTTTCATCCTAGAATGATGGAAACTTTGTGGAAGCCACTGCTCAACCCTCAGCTCCCCATGAGAAAGTAAGGATTGTTTTCTGATAAGTTCATTGGACTTTAAAATCATACCCTTTGAGAGGAGACTCTTTGGGTGGGAAAAAATGTAGGGTGACCAAAGCAAAACAAAACAAAAAAAACATATCAAAGACTGAGTCCTGTTCTTGATAACAAGAAAAGAAAAATGGAAAGGTCAGCTGTGGGGGGGTGCATTAATGCTGTCCACCCTCCATGTTTGTATTTAATTTCCTAAAACTACATGTCTTATTTAAGTTTTTGTACAGAGTGTATATATGTATTATGTATGTGTATGTTTATATGTTTATATCATCTTATTCCATGTTTCCTTTAATCAATTTTTTTAAAAAAAACATTAAAACAATTATTACAGTGTCAGTCTTTCCCTTCTTAAAAGAGAGATTGGGAAGAGATGTATTGGCTCATTCTCTCTCTCCCTCTCTCAATCCCTCTCCTTCGCCCTCCCCACCCTCCCCTCTCCTCTCTGGTTTTCTTTCTTACAGTTGCCAGTACTTATCAGGGTGCCAAAGCTGATCTGTTACTCAGTAATGAGTGTATGCTTCGTGCCTGTTTCAATATTGGGTTTTGGAGATATTATTGTACCAGGTGAGTGAATATAATAATTTTAGCAAAACTATACGTATGGTTTTAAGGGTCATATCAAAGCACCTGGTAAAAGTTCAAGGCTCTGCATTCTTTGGTTGTCATTAGAACTGGGATCAATGACAAAGGTTAAAAAAAAAAGTTCCCTTTGAAGGGTAAAAGAGAAATCGCCACTCAAAATGGTCAAAGTAAAATGCTTGCTGGCTGAAAAGTCTCTTGAAACAGCAAGGATCCATTTAACCTTCTCCAGTAGAGCATATTTTGTAATCCTTTCCAAAAGCTGAAAATAATAATACAGTTTCTTTCCCTCCTGCTTGACAGCAATAGTTACATTTTAAGACGTAAGTGCTCTAGCAATGTCAGCAAGGTAGTGCTGAAGTAGCAACAGAAGCCTGGACTACATCGCTTTATAATAAAAGACAGCTGATGGGAAATGGATCACAGTAGCCTATAGATCTGGGCAGCCAGGGATCTGTTGGGAAACTAGAGGTTGAGAGAGACAGACAGGAGTGGCCAGACTAGGTCAGGACATTAGATGCGAGACCTAGGCTAGATGTGGGGGAGTTATAGAGGAGAGGAGCAAGTGGTCTCATCTGGCTAGACATTGGAGATGGACATCTACAAATACTTAATATGTACAACATGAGTTGTCTTCTTTGGTAATATTCAAAAAATTTCTTCTAAAAGTGGGTATTGAATTATCCCTTCATATTTGCATGTACAAATGAGAGTTGCTCTTTAAAATTCTTAGTATTGGGGCTGGAAGGATGGCTCAGCAGTTATGGGACTTGTTCTTGCAGAGGACTCAGGTTTAATCCCAGGACCTACTCGGTCACTCACAACTCTGTAACTCCAGTTCTAAGGGATAGAATACCCTCTTCTGATAGGCAGCGGGCACACACATGGTGCTCACACATACATGCAGGAAAAGCATTCATAGTCATGACATAAGTAAGTGGTTTTTCTTTTTTTTTTTGTTTGTTTGTTTGTTTTTGTTTTTCAAGACAGGGTTTTTCTGTGGCTTTGGAGCCTGTCCTGGAACTTGTTCTATAGACCAGGCTGGCCTCGAATTCACAGAGATCCGCCTGCCTCTGCCTCCTGTGTGCTAGAATTAAAGGAGTGCACCACCAATGCCCAGCTAGTAAGTGGTTTTTAAATAAAATTACTTTCATTAAAACTTAAAGATACCAGTTGTGGTGGTGCATACCAGTAGGATTTGCTGAAGGAGGCAGAGACAGGCGGATCTCTGTGAGTTCAAAGTCAGCCTGGTCTACACAGTGTGCTCCAGGTCATCCAGGGCTACACAGAGAGAAACCCTGTCTCAACAACACCCCCCCCCCAAAAAAAAACACCAAACAAACAAAAAAAACTTTTTTTTTTTCAAGACAGGGTTTTCTATATTGCTTTGGCACCTTGCAAGCACTCTACCACAAACAAAAAACTTAAGTCATTCTTCTAAATATTTCTTATAGTTACTTTCTTTATGTATTTCCAGTATATTTTAAACCCACACATATTTATTCATTTTAAAAAATTGAAAAATGGAATTGTGTATTTTATTATATGCAACATATTTCCCAAATATGTGTATAGTGTAGAATGACAAGCTCATTGACATGCATTGCCTCACTTTTCTTTTGTCTGTCACGGGACAGTTTGATAATATATCGCTATTAACTACCGTCAGTGTGCTGTTCGATGAGTTCGATGAATTTCTGAATTTATTTCTATATGACTGAATTTTGTATCCCCAATCACTCCTCAATCCCACCATTTTATTGTACTTCTATGAGTTCAACTCTTTGAGTTTTAGTTACAAGTGAGATAAGATCCTATTTGTTTTTCTTTGGCTGGCTGCTTGATGCTTAATACAGTGTCCTACAGATTTATCACAGTGCTAGTCCCACAAAAGACAGCATTTCCATCTTCTCCCCCACTTCACTTCCCCTAGTGTGTGTGGTGTGTGGTGTGGTGTGGTGTGTGTGTGGTATGTGTGGTGTGTGTGTGTATGTGTGTTTGGTGTGTGGAGGCCAGAGATTGATTGCTGTCCCTTCCCCTTGCATTCATTCATTCATTCTTTCTTTTTCTTTTTTTTTTTTTTTTTTTTTTTTTTCGGGGGGGGGGGCTGTTGGAGACAGGATTTCTCTGTTTAGCCCTGGCTGTCCTGAACTCACTATGTAGTCCAGGCTGGCCTCAAACTCACAGAGTCTCCTGTCTCTTTTAATTCCAGTGCTGGAATTAAAGGCATGTACCACCACTTTTTTTTTTTTTTTTTTTTTTTTTTTTGAAACAGGTTCTCTACAATAACCCTGGCTGTTGAGGAACTCATTCTGTAAACCAGGCTGGCCTTGAACTTGCAGAGAGTCTTCTGCCTTTGCCTCCTGAGTGCTGGGATTAAATTGTGCACCGTCATACCCGGCTCTTTAAAGTTTGTATTTTATGTATTGTGTATATAGGTGTTTTGCCTGCACATATGTCTATGTACTATGTGCATGCAGTGCCTGTGGAGGTCAGGAGACAGTATCATGTCTCCTGGGACTGGAATTACGGATGGCTGTGAGCTACCATGTGAGCTCTGGAAATTGAACCCTATGTCCCCTGGAAGAGCAGTCAGTGCTTTGGACTGCTGAGCCATCTCTCCAACTCAGTCTTTATTTCTTGAGATAGTATTCTGCACTGAGCATGGAGCTTGCTGATTCAGCTAGGTTGGGTGGCCTTTGAGGTCTAGGAATCCATCTGTCTCCTTCTCCCCAGTACTGAGACCACAGGTTGCTGCTGGGAATCCAAACTCATGACAGTGAGAGCAGCAAGCCCTTTATCCACTGAGCCAAACCTGCAGCCCAGTTTTCCTTCTCAGGGATGAATAGTACTTATTTGTGTATGCACTACATTTTCTCTCTCCATTCATTAATTAGTAAGCACTGAGATTGGCTGTTCTGAATATGGAACATGTCTCTTTACATGCCAGTTTCACCTCCTTTGGATTTTTGCCCAGTAGTGGAATTGCTGAGTCACATCATAGGCCTGTTTGTTTAAAACGGTCTTTGCTGTGTAGCCCAAGCTGGACTCAATCTCATGATCCTTCTGTTTTGGTCTCCCAAGTCCTTGAATTACAAGCTTATGCCACCATGCCTAGCCTGTTTTAAATTTTTTGTTATTTGTTGTTAGGGCCTTAGCCCTACTAGGCAAATGCAAGAATTGCTGATGTAGTTAGTCTTCTGCCCATTTTCTCATTGGGTTATGTTTTTTCTTACTGTTGGCTTATTTGGGATCCCCACATGTTTTAGATATTAGATGTTATCAGATGTGTTTGCAGACAATCCCATTTCATAGGCTATCTCCTCACTCTATTGATTGGAATATTGAACAGCTAAAAAGGTCATAATTTTCAAATACCTGTGAGTGGCTTAGGGGAAATGTCTAAAATATGCTATCACATTTTTAAAAATCAACATGTGAAAGTTGGTTCATAATTTAAGATACTTTAATTAATGGTCTCATAGTACAAAAAAAGAAAGTGAAATACAACCAGTATTGTTGCCCAGTTGATTTTGTAATATCACTACTGTTTGAAGAAAATAATGTGGATTTTCTTTTAGGCCTGTTGATTGCATATTGTAGAAGATTTGATGTTCAGACCGGTTCTTCTTCTGTATACTTTATTTCATCCACAATCGGTAAAGTTTGTTTCTTTTTATTGTGTTGCATTATATTATATGGAGAAAAAAAGAACCAAAGGGCTAAAAAATAGTCTGTTTCCCTCTTTTTATGAGTTTTACATGAAGTGTTATAGAGCATGTGCATAGCCCTAGGTATAAATCTATAAAATAGTATTTAAATATTAAATTATGAAAGCAGATGTGGAGTGCCTGCCCAGTTTGCATAAGCCTTAGGCTTGGCCCCCAGCTCCACATACACCAATGTGATGGTATTCCTGTAATGTCAACATGTGGGTGATAGAGGCAGAAGGACCAAGAATTAAAGATCATCCTCAGCTACAGCAGTCTGAGCATCCTTGAATCCGTGAGATCCTGACTCAATATATACATACATAAATACACATAAATAGTAAATGTTAAAGGCTAACACAAGAAATACATCCCCCAAAATAGAGTTACTAAGAATATGAGCTTTGGTCTGAAAAGCTGTATTTTGGTGGGGAGCTATGTGCAGGTACTCTGATCAGCTCACATGTAGTGAGCATGGCTCTGGCAGGCCTTGCCCTTGTCCCCATTCCCACTTTAAACAAACAAACAAATAAAAACCTGTTAGATCATATCCCTAAAGCTAGCCTCCAAGATCTATCACCTTATTTGGCCACTTCCTCCTCCTGAGGCTGAATACCAAGATCCAGCTATCAAAGTACTTAGGTCCAACAATCAAAAGACTCCTTTGTCTGCCCTTATTAACATGCCCAATCAAAATTTGTATACCTCACCCTTTTAACTTTATAAACTGCCATTTGCCTGTGGGCTGTGTCTGTCTCCTCACTATCTAGAGGCAGTCCTTTGTTCCTCTGGGGCAAATAAACTTCCTTTGTACTAAGAAGCTGGCCTTGAAGGGATCTTGAATTGATACTTTTCCTTTCAATAAGTACCACTTTCTTTTCTTTTCCTTTGTTTCTTTCTTTCTTTCTTTTTTTTTCCCTGAGACAGAGTTTCTCTTTGTAGCCCTAGTGTCCTGGAATTAGATCTTTAGACCAGACTATCCTCGAACTCAGAGATCTGCCTGCTTCTGCTTCCCTAATGCTGGGATCAAGGGTCTGACATACCACCATTCAGCTGAGTACCACTTTTTTAAAAATGGAAATAAATGAAACAGCAAATTTAGTTAAAAAGTTAAGAAAACATTTACTTTAAAAGTTATTCAAATAACCTATAAGGATGGTCAGATTTTATGATTTTAAATAATGAAATGTTGGGCTGAAATGTCATCACATTAGTTAAGAGGACATATTGCTCTTGGAAAGGACCCAGCGTATACTTGGTGTTTTACAGCTGTCTGTAACTTCAATCTCAGGTATCTGATTCCCTTTTCTGACCTTTGAGGGCATCAGACATGCACATGGTGCACATATCTCTATGCAACAAAGCACCCATACACATATAACATAAAATAAATCTGAGTGTGGTACACATGCCTTTAATTCCAGAGGGAGAGGCAGGTGGATCTTTGAGTTTGAGGCCAACCTGGTCTACGAAGTGAGTTCCAGGACACTTAGGGCTACACAGAGAAACCCTGTCTCTGACCGCTACTACCCCCGCAAAAAAAAAAAAAAAAAAAAAAAAAAACAAGGATAATTAAAACCAGAAATAGTGGTACACATTTGTAATTCTAGTACTCCAGAAGATGAGAAGTTCAAGGGCATTCTTGACTGTTTATCAAGTTCAAGGCTAGGCTGGGTTCCATGAAACCCTGTCGCAGAAACAAAAACAAATTAATGGGACAATCATACTCTGTAATTTATAGTACAGCATTTTAGAGACTTTAAAAGTTGAGTTTCCACCAGGAGCACGCCTTTAATCCCAACACTCAAGAGGCAGAGATGGGTGGATCTAAGTGAATTTGAGGCTAGCCCCTGGTCTATAGAGGGAATTCTAGGCCAGGGCTATGTAGTGAGACTGTGCCTTAAAAAAAAAAAAAAAAGTTGAGGTTTTATATATGTTTATTAAAATACCTGGAACACAAGTAGCATCTAAAATGTTTACTACTGCGTTTTTCTAGCATAGTGTATAAATAACTATGAGTATATAAATGAATCAATGTAAGTTGTTAGCTCCCTGGTACAGCAGGGCAGTCATCACCTCTGTTTCTGTTATTGAAATGTTAACAATAGGACACTGAATAGAAAAAGCTCTGCTACCTCTGAGTGTTCTGGGTGGGTATTTCAACATCCATGCACCACAAGCTCTGAGTGCTTGGCCACATGGCCTGAGCCAGAGCCACAGATGTCCCTTTAAGACTTTCTAGTTCTTGTAGAGTTAATCTCCATGTTGGGAGAGAACAATGGCACTATAAATGGGAACCCCCAACATCATGAAAGAAAGTTAAGTGAGGGGAAGGGAAGGAGGTGCAGAGAGGACTGGAGAGAAGTAAGGAGAGAAAGAAGAGAGGAGGATGGAGGGAAGGGGACACAGAGGCCCCACATAGAAACAAGAAAAGAGGCTTGCTTGAGTGGTAAGTACAGCACCTTGTAATGGAATAACACCCAGTTCTGCACCAGGATTTTTCTTGTTGCTAAACAACCAGCTCCCAAATCAAGACACAGAGCCAACTTAGTTTTGAACGCTCAGCCTTAGCTCAGTGCTCTTCTGGCTAGCTCTTTCAACTTAAACTGTTTCTCTTCGTCTACCTTTTGCCTTGGGGCTTCTTACTTTTCTTTCTGTAATCTTCCGCTGCTTCTCATGTCTGGCTGGCTGGCTTGCTGGCAGTGGCTGCCTGCCTTCTGGTCCCAGGTGTTTCCCTTGTTCTTATACTCTCCTCCTCTTTTCCTTTTTTCTTTTCTTTTTTTTTTTTTTTTTTTTTTTTTTTTTTTTTTTTTAGCCTAGATTTCTCCTTCTATTTATTCTCTCTGCCTGCTAGCCCCGCCTGTCCTTTCTCTTGCCTGACAATTGGCCATTCAGCCCTTTATTAGGCCAATCAGGTGTCTTAGGCAGGCAAGGTGAGATAAAAGCAAAACATCTTTACATAATTAAGATGAGATTTACATATTCAGATGAGCTCATCTGCATATAACTCCAGTTCTAGGGCCTGGGGCACCTCTAACCGCAGGAACCTGCAGCCACAGATACAAACACATAATTTTTAAAACAGGTCTTATTTAAAGATGTCTTCAGAAGTATTTGGAAACTATTGCTTTAATGGGGGAAGGAAGACCCCACTCCTGGAAGTGTAAAACTGAGCTGGCTTCTGTCCCCCCCCCAGCCTATGCTATTGGCATGATAATTACATTTGTTGTCCTGGTGCTGATGAAGAAGGGGCAGCCCGCCCTCCTCTATTTGGTACCTTGTACACTTCTTGCTGCCTCAGTTGTTGCTTGGAGTCGTAAGGAGATGAAAAAGTTCTGGAAAGGGAGCAGCTATCAGGTATGTGCTTATACTTTATAATTCACTGGCTGTTATGCTATAGCCCATTATAACAAATCTTTATGTGTCAGAAGTTTAATGTAACCCTAGGATGCCCCGAGTTCCTCACCCCGTCAGCATCTGCCTGCTGTGGCATGGGTTCTTGGTGTCCACTGTAAGTGAATGCCGGAGCCCTGTAATGTCATCGTGAGAAGACACTGGGAAAATAGAGCACTGCAACATATATCCAAGCCCCCGTAAACGTGCAAGACACAGCTATTTAAAATAAATGCTGAAGCTCGAGACTCACATTAGAAATTGATAGGAAGAGACCTAAGGTATTGAAAATGAAAATACGTGTTCTTCCCAGCATTTGAATGTACCAAACTAACTTCAGGTGGGTACTCATGTCAGACTTAAGTGGATCAAGAGTGTCCTTCCTTTAAAATTCCTATAACAAAGAAAATAGTAATTTCAGAATCTCTTTATTTCTCTTTCCTAAATGTTCCTGCAAGTCCAGAAACGTTGGTTTGCATCGACATTGAAGAGAGTTGAGAAGCCCTTTCCTACTCAGTACTGGCCCCTTCCCAGAGGCATTTTGTTAGTTATTTTTGATTTGTTGCTGTAAAGTGAACTGCCCCCTTCCATCTGTCCTCATGGATGTGTGACAGCAGTCATGTGAACGGAGAGACACTTGGAGTAGGTGGCTGTAACTGTTCTTACCAGAGAACCAGTTCAAATATCTCACTGTATCTTTTGTAGTGTTTAAGAAGAGATGGCCACCATTATGTTATGGGCTTCTATAATTTAAAAGGCACTGGTTTAGAACTCTTTCTGGCAAATATTGCAATTTCTTTTTGGAGATTTGAATAAAATAATAATATCTACCTTAGCCACTTATCAGTACTATTGGCTCAGCCTGCATTAATGTATACAGAAGGTGTCTATGGTCACAAGGTCCTTCATTAAACTAGTAAGATAGCTGGTAATTTTTTCATGAAGATGATACCCATATCAATTTTTTCCCCAATGCTGGAAATCAAACCTAGAGCTCTCATAGGGTGTGTGTGTGTGTGTGTGTGTGTGTGTGTGTGTTTAAATAAAAGAGTAGCCAGTCATGTATAGTGTAATCCTAATCTTGGGAGATGGAGACTGAGAGATGAGGAGTTCAAGGCCAACCTCAAACACATAGCAAGTTAGACACCCTATTTTAATCAATTAGTAAGATAAAAGTATTCCCAAACTACTTACAAATTTTTGAATGTCTTATCCTCAAAATGGCTCTTTATCCTTTTTTTTAATAGTTTTCTATTTCTGCATTTAATGACTTTATTGAACAGCTCTATGAGTTAAGTATGACTTCAGAAACTGACTCTACAGGATGAACAAGTTTCAAGGGTATCTCCTCCTGTGGCCTTGTGAAACTTACTAGGAAATACAGACAGAGTCACTAGACATAAATTGTAATGAGTGCATTGGTAATGACAAAGTGTCATGGTATCTAGGGGTAGAACATCTAGGGCCAAGAATTCAGGACAAGTTAATGGGTGATTTAAAGAAGGGCTTCTAAAAACTGTTAAATCTCATTGAAAAACTGGACTATATGTTCATCTTAAAGGAGCCATGTCTTCAGATATTCCAAGGGAAGAAAGCTGTCATGTTCTGAGAACCGAAGGGAGCTTAGGGAAGCTCTAATGTTGAGTATGGATAAAGGACCTACCTTTTTCTTAGTTAGGGTTTCTATTGCTGTGAGAGACACCATGAGCCTGGCAACCCTTATAAAGGAAACATTTAACTTATGGCTGGCTTACAGCTTCAGAGGTTTAGTCCATTATCCTCATGACAAGGAGCATGACAATGTGCAGGCAGACATGTTGCTGGAGAAGGAGCTGAGAGTTCTACATCTTGATCCACATGCAGCAGTGTTGACACACTGGGCATAGCTTGTGCATAGAAGACCTTAAAGCCCACCCCCGCAGTGACACACTTCCTCCAACAAGGCCACACCTGATAGTGCCACTCCCTATGAGCCAAGCATTCAAGCACATGAGTCTGTGGGGGCCATTGCTATTCAAACCACTGCACTAGGGTAGAGAACTTCCTTCTGCCTCCTGTGGGGGGAGGGCTAGGCTGCTAAATGAGCCTGTCAGTGGTTCCTAACTCCCCTTCTTATTATTTTTTATGTATCTCATTTATAATTTCTTGCAAAAAAGTCTGCTCTCTGTATATTAATATTCACTGGGTGGTGGTGACAGCAGCGCATGCCTTTAATCCCCACACTTGGGAGGCAGAGGCAGGTGAATCTTTGAGTTTGAGGCCAGCCTGGTCTACAGAGTGAATTCCAGGACAGCCAGAGCTGCACAAAGAAACCCTTTCTTGAAAAACAAACAACAAACAACCCCCCCAAAAAAAAAAACAAAAAGAATTTATTGTATATACTGACATTTCTTCTTAAGGGATTTTCTGGGAAATGGTAAAATTGATATGAAAATATGCTCATTACAGCACATCTGGCCTTCTCTGTTATACTGAAGTGAATATAAGTTAATGTCATTGGCAGCTAGTGTTCTAAAAGTCTGTCTATAAACTCTGTTTTTACTTTAGCAACTTCTTTCTCTGTGTTCTAATTACAAAGTAATATATATTTGTTTATTGGTTGATTTGGGTTTAGGTTTTGAGTCTTTTAAGACAGGACCTTAATCTGAAATTCAGGCTGTATTAAACTCAAATGTAGTGCCCAATAACCTTAGGCTTTTAGAAATCCTCCTGCTTTACCCTCCTGCGTGCTGTGATTATAAGAGTCTGGCATGATTTTTCAGCTTGTATTTCTATTTTTAATTAAAATGTTTTAAGATGGATTTGTGCTCAGTGGGGGAGGTGCCTGTAGAGGCTAGAAGATTCCTTGAAGGAAGGGTTACAGCAAGTGCGGTTAACCACTCCTCCAGCTCTCCAGCCCTTGTTTTGGTTTTGTTTTTTGTTTTTTTGTTTTTTGTTTTTTCCCCCAAATAAGAAATACAGAAGTGTGGGCTGCAGAGGTGGTTCAGAGCCTGTATTGATCTTCTAAAGGACCATAGTTCAGCTTGCAGCACTGACATCCAAGCAGCTCACAACTGTCAGTAACCCTTGTTCTGGGGAATCCAACACACCTTAGAGGGTTCCTGCACTCACTTGAATGTATTTTGTTTATTAAAAATAAAATAAATCTTGAAAAGTGTACAGGGCCTCGAGAGATGGATTAATGGTTGGGAACTTACTGTTCTTGCAGAGGACCCCAGCACCCACGTGAGAGAAAAGTGAAGTGGAGTGTAAGGCTTGTTGTGTGGTATTTTGTCTTTCCAAAAGTAAATCAAATGGAAAGAAATCCACGCAATAGCTTCAAACCGGCTGTTTGCTCCGATGCTCTCAGCTTGTTGATGTCCAGTGAACAGTGTGTGTGCTAATGTCACTGGTACTTGTAATTATTTTTAGAAGTCACAAGCTGTAAGTCACGAGTAGGGATACAAAGGTACTTACAGTGACTGCTTGAGGATCAGGAGCTCCAGTTACTCAGGCTAATTTATTAGGCAGTTTTCAGAGATTAGTTCTAAATGAGTAGAACGTTGAAAATGAAAAGGTTTGCTGGCCCAGTTTCAAAGGACAATTTCCCATACAGATTGCCTATTTACAAATGTGGAATACCATTTTTTGCCAGTTAATTTCAATGACTGTGTTGGTTCGTTGAGTTTTTATAAATACCTCATGCTTGTTCTGTGTATTTCTCTATTGTTTTTACTAAAATCTTAGGAAGTAGGAAATAGAAATGATAACTTTTCAGCTAGTAGACTTTGAAATTATTTTGTTGTTTGTTTAGCTTTGTTTTTGGAACACAGGGAGGGTGTCCCACTGTGTAGTCTAGGCTGCCTAAAACTCAGACTCCTACTTCAACTTCCTGTGTGCCAGGATCACAGCCATGTACTACCATGACTGGTTAATTAATATATCTATATTTAGTGCTGGAATTATAGTGCCCAGTGTGATACCTAAGAATTAGGAAAGCAGAAGCCTGTTATAATGCTGGGTACATAGCTCTTACTCTCCAGGGTGGTTGCCAGGTACATAGATCACAGAGAAGAAAAATGTTGTGTCTTCTCCATCCCCTACCATCCTGTCTCATGGCTGCTCCAGGTCTCCCACAGCACTGGCCTACTGTCAGAAGAAAGGGCCCTAAATACACCTATGTGTATGTCTGTAATTATCAATGTGATTTAAATGAAGTTCCCCACATCTCCACTGTATGTCTCATGTTGTGGAATTCTTAGTGTTGCCTATCCCGATGCTGTAAAAGGAACTCAGGACTCCCATATGCATCCTCCTGAGAAGTTAAGCATGATGTTGACTTGGGCAGTGTTTCAGAAGGAATGCTTGGTTCCCTAAGGTTACTTGTTTGTTAAGGTTTACTTTTATTATTTTTAATTATGTGTATGTATGTGGGTGTATACGTATTAATACAGATATGGTGGTCAGAGGCAAAGGATCCCCCTGGTACTAGAATTACGTGCAGTTGTGATCTCACCAAAGTGGGTGCTAAAGACCAGACTGAGAGCAAGTGCTCTTAATCTCTGAGCCATTCTTTTCTTGTCCCAAGATTACTCTGTTTTTGGTTTTGAGATAAGGTAATTCTGGCAGTCCTGCAATTTACTATGTAGACCAAGCTGGCTTCAAACTCAGAGATTGCCCCCCCCCCAGCCTCTTGAGTGCCTGGATTAAAAATGGGGGGAAGGGGTGGCTGGGGAAATAGTTCAGTTAGATCTGGAGGGGAGGGGAGTGGGGAAGGACTGGGAGGAATAGAGGAAAGGGAAACTGTAATCAAGGTGTATTGAATGAGAAAAGATTCTATTTTCAGTGAAAGGGAACGGGATGGGGTGGGGCTGTAGCTCCGTTAGTAAAGAGCTTCCTGAACTGGCATGAAGGTGTGATTTCAAATACCCAGCACTCATTTAAAAGCCATGTAGAAGGGCTCAGGCTTGGTGACACTTGCCTTTTAATTCCAACTCTCTGGAGGCAGAGACATGTGGATCTGTTAGTTTCAGGCTACCTAGGACTACATAAGTGAGACTCTATATTAAAAATAAAAAAAGAAAACAGAAAGCTAAGTTCAATGAAGGTGGGTGATGGAGATAGAAGTACCCCTGGAACTCTGGTCAGCAAGCTCCAGGCTCAGCAACGATGCTTGTCTAAAGTGGAAGGCAGTTGAGGAAGATAACCACACATATGTGCATACATGTGCCTGTTTAGCGGGATGCACACATGTATCCACACATGCAAACACACACACACACACACACACACACACACACACACACACACACACACACACACCACAAAACCAGAATACTTTTGTCAAATTAATGAAGACTGGAAGGCAAGTTTAGCATTTGCATTTTCTGATGACTTTCATTTATGCCTAGGTGATGGACCATCTGGACTATTCAACAAATGAAGAGAGCCCAGTGACTACTGATGCGCAGGCTGGGCAGCAGTAATTGCATGGACCTACAATGATGTGCTGTTGATTTTTTACGACTAGAATTCGCCACCCCCCCCCACCCTTTTTATTTTGCTTTCTGAGACAGTTGGTATTGCAGCTCACATTCTCCTGCCTCTGCCTCCCCATTGTTTGGAACTATAGCTGTGGAACAGCATGCCCAGCAAGTTTTAAATCAAAGTTTGAACTGAAAATTGGAAACATTTGCAGTGCTGTTTGCCAATCCATATATTTTTATGAGCTGGTAAAATTCATCATACATAGCGAAAATGCATTTTCTTTTAAAGTTGTGCCTTCACAATCAATGAAAACTATCGGTTTCTGTAGTTTCCAAATGTACTATATACATTATATTTTTCTAAAAAAAAAAAAAAAAAAAAGTCACCTTGACCCTCTCCTGTACTTTTCTTACTAAAATATTTCTCCAAAATCTAAGGGTAGATCATTTATAAATGTCAACGCAAGTTTCTTGAGTAGATGTTTTTGTTTACGATTTATGCAAATCTTATCCCCTCTACAGGAATAACTTCTTAAGGCTGTTCAAGAAAGCAATTCAGCAGCAAAAAATTGGTCTTTATATTATTTAGAAGTTTTTAAAAATACAAGGGAGTACATAGTAACACATCCCTTTATAGTTTAAGTTTAAAATTTTTCTTTACTTTTATTTTTATTTCATGTGTATAGGTGTTTTTCCTGTATACATGTCTGTCTGTGCACCACATTCATGCCTGGTGCCCATTGGATCCCTTGGGACTGGAGTTACAGATGGCTGTAAGCTGCCTTGTGGGTGCTGGGACTTGAACCCAGGTCCTCTGGAAGAGCAACCAGTGCTCTTAATTGCTGAGCCATCTCTCCTGCCTTGTAGTTTTATGTTTTTAAAAACTTGTAACCCTTTTTAAAACTTGAGCACCTAAATTGCTTCAGGCTGAGTATGTATTATATTAGACTATTTTTTAGCTAGAAGGAAACATAATATATAAAAATAAACATTTGGAGGATACAAAAACTGAATCTAGTTTCTGTCAGTACTCCATTTACTTGAAGATATAGATTAAATGTCTGTACTTATTCAAATTTTATTTTGGTTTTTCTGATCTTTGAAATTTGATTCCATTGATTAGGTTTTATCTTTTAAATTTTTTCTTATCTGACTAGATATCATATGTATAATTTATTGTTCATAATCCTGACAGTCTCCCCATTATCTGTCATCACCCCGGTTCCCAGTCTTCTCTTTCTGTAATTGAGCCCTGCCGACCTTGGAGGGATGTGTGCTGTTCAGGGTACAAATGTACTTTTGTTCATCAGTTTCCTCGCCTCCAAAATGAGTAGTTAGAACAGTCATCACTCTGCTGACTTGCAACTTGAAAGAAATAATTTTCTTTTCATTCTTTGCAGAATCTCAGGTTTTTTTTTTTATAGAAATTAGAGGTGAAATTATCTCTCAAATTATTTTAATTTCTCAAAGAAAGTACCAAGTGACAAGTCATTACAAAAGCTCAGGATTTTGCATTTCTTTGTAAATAATGATGCACACGCTGTGTGAACAAACCCAATCTTTAATGTTAAAACCAATTCAGCTTATTCAAAGGTAAAAACTAGTGCATTGAAAAATGGGCTAGACCTTTGATATTTGAACTAAAGTTCAATTAGATGCTTTTGTTTAATTGTTAACTTTTGCTGAGTAAATGACAGGGAGGCTGCACTGACAGCCCCTTTCTATCCAGTACAGGTCTGTGGTCTTCTGTTTACAGCAAACGAGATGCCCTATGAGATACAAGTTAAGTGCCATTTTTACAATTCCAATTGTACTTTCACTTACAATGTCAATAAAATGCTTGCCAAAATACAACTGTTTTACTAACATCTGCATCCTCCTTTGAGTCACCAGTTACATTTTATGAAGAATGTAAAAGAAAATTAGTGTTTTAAAAACTATGTTGAAATAACACAATTTTTAAAAATAATTTGGTTTCATTAATTTGTAACTAATATTTAAATTCTTAATCTAAACCATTGTCCCAGTAAAACATTAATACATCCAGAAAAATCTGAATTCTAACTTATTTGAAACAAAGTCTCTTTTACCCAACCATCATATTGTTATAATTAAAGTCTTGCATATGGGCTAAGTGTTAGAGTTCTTGCCTACCATGTTTCAAGTGCCTACCCCAGCACTGCCAATGAAACAACTTACTAAGTGGCTATAAATAACAAAAAGAATTTCCCAGAGTCTCTATCCTCACTGCCAATTTCATATGTACTTAAACAGCCCTCTTGGAAACATAGACAAAAATAGCTCCTTAAAGAAAATAAAATACATAAATACTGGGTCTTGGAAATAAAAGTGAATAGATACCAGAGATTAAAATTTGACTCTGAAAATTTGCCATCTCTCCCTGTCTTGCTTACCTAACACCAGTAACTTTTAAGAGGTAGGGAAATTGGAATTTTCCCCCTCTTGAGTACCCTTTAAAAATAAAGTTTATTGTATTTATTAGCACTTATTACAAAATAAAGTACTTGGTAGTAGGATCTATGCTTGTGGCTTAGAAAATAGAAATTATTGCTCTTAAATGCATTTTATTTTCTTCTAGCTTCTAAAGTTTAATTTTAATTAGCAATTTCTTTATAGTAGAGTATAACTTAATACCCCTTTGAAGGACCATATGCTGCTGTCATTTATGTATTTTAGTTACATGGGCAGACAGGTTCTGGTAGAATGTCATATTTTTAATAAATATTAATGATATTTCTAGTTTTCTTTGCTCTTTCAGTGTTCACATTTTTTGTTCGGTTTGTTTCATTTTTCAAGACAGGCTTTCTCTGTGTAGCTCTGGCTGTCCTGGAACTCGCTCTGTAGACCAGGCTGGCCTTGAACTCACAGAGATCCTCCTCCCTCTGCCTCCTGAGTGCTGCGATTAAAACATGGGCCACTACTGCCTGGCCAGTGTTCATAATTTTATAACTATTCTTCAATCACAGGACTCTAATCCAGGATTTGCACAGTCTGAGCAAGTGCTATACCACTGAGCTGCGTGTCCAGCTCCTCAGTTTGCGTTCAAGGTAGAGGTGGAAATTACATTTACATTTGATGAAAACATGTCTAATCTATTAAGCTGATTCTCTTTTGGCTTGATTACAGTCAGTGACCTTTCAGTGCTAGGAGTCGTCTTCCTGGTTGGTAAGACTACGTTGCTTAAAGAAACTTTTATAGTTTCCCATGAATAAAAATAGGTTGAATCAACTCAAGGTTGTAGTACATGATCAGTTAGCCATAAAGTGGTTTTGATGAGGCATTAAAAATATTATAAACAGTCTTGCTATTCTTTTGAAATATACATTTAAAAAATATCTAAAGTATATCTGGTTAGCCTGCAACTTCCCAGTAGGAGAAGTGAGCATAAATTCAGTGGCTTTTGTCTGTTTTCCCCTTATACCCTTTTAAAATACATAATTGGATTTTTACTTCTTAGATGGTTGGTTTGTATATGAGACTCTTTTTCTAATACTTTTTCTATGTAAGCTAGTGTAAATTGATATTTTTATAACACTACTAGACTTTACTTTTTATGGAACATGATTTAAAACTTAAATTTTGGAGTGTTAATTTTGCAGTGTGAAGTTCTTTATCATGTGCCAATTCTGACAAGAAAGACAACTTTTAGTGTATTGAATTTTCTGCAGTGTTCAATAAATTTTATTTTAAAATGAAAAATTGAATTTGGGTTTTTTTTTGGTATGGCAAAAGAAATTATTGAAAATGAACCAAAGGCACACTAGATCATGTCCATGTATTATGCACACTCACAAAAAGAAACAACATGAAATTTTGCAGTTATTCAGGGTTGACAATTTATTTTTAAAATTCAGATTTCATAGGCGAGACTTAATTGAAAATTATATTGTACAGTATGTGTAGATTCCTTTTGAGACAGGAGCTTGCTAGTTTGTAACTTTAGATCTTACTGCCTCAGTCTCTGAACTGCTGAGAAACAGGCTTGCAATACCACATACCACAGGATCTGTTTGTTGTTATCCATTGTTATGAGAGTACCATGCTTAGCCTAGTCTGGCCTGAAATTTGCTGTGTCTGGGGCTAGTTTTGAACTCAGATCTTACTTACCTTCACCTTCCACTTACTGAGATTATAGGTGTATGCCACCATCTTGGGCAACAGCAGACATTTTTGTTCATTTGGTTGGTTGATTTGATTTGATGTTTTTAGAAAATGTGTGTAGCAGGATTAATAAAAACCCAGAGACAGATTTTGGGGTTCAAACCGAAGATCAGAAAAGCAAAGCAGCCAAGACACTAGAGAGTTCTTACCTCTACCAAGACTAATACCAAAGAGGGGTGATCCATCCTGTCCTTAATGTGACTGCAGACTGCAATGCTCTCCACCAAGAAACCTCAGACTTCTCTAAGCTCCTGTCTTATATTATTCCTCTCTAGAGCTGGAATGAAAGGCATGAGCTCAGTTTCTCTTTCAGACTGATTCACTCTCATGTGAGCCCAGGGTAGCCTTGAACTCATAGATGTCCATCTGCTTCTGTCTCCTGAGTTCTGGAATTAAAGGTGTGGCCACCACTGTCTGTCCTCTATGGCTAACTAGTGACTTACTTACTGTGTGTGTGTGGCTAACTAGTGGCTTAGCTCTGCACTCTGATCTTCAGGCAAACTTTATTAGATCATATACAAAATATCATCATGAGTAGCTCACCTCAGGGCTGAAGGGATGGATCAGATGTTAAGAGCACTTACTGATCTTGCATAAGACCCCGGCAACAACATTAGGGACTCACCACTGCAGTTCTGGGGGACCTAACACCCTCTATCCTCCATGAGCACCTGCACACATGTGATGCACATAAACTCAACACAAGCACACACACACACTCCACATATGCATAAATAAAAATAATAAATATTAAAAGACGAAAGTACCATGGCAGGCCAGAAAGATGGCTCACTGATTAAAAGTGGTCCCCTGACCCCACAGGGAAAGGAAAAAACTCACTCTAAAAATGGTCCTCAGCCTCCCCCCCACACACTATGGTGCCCATACATACATTATATATGCACAGACGACACTGATTTAAAAAAAAAAAAAAAACCTTAAGTATCTCACTTCTTGAGAGCATTGCAGATGTTTCTCCTTGATGCCATCATACTGGTTTTTTGTTTGTTTGTTTGTTTGTTTTTGTAGAGCTGAAGATCAAACTCCAGGAAATGAGGTCCTTCCTCAGCCATCTACTGTCTTTCTGAGATTGCTTTACATGTGTGCTGTAGTCTTGAAATGATGAGAATGCGCTCCCCCCCCCATGAATTCCCTGATAGGGAGGAGCCTCATTCCATTGGTCCAGGTATCTGGAAAGATACAGAGTACCTCATAGAGAAAAGGAGATGGCTAGAACATAGCAAGAAGAAGTTAGCCCCTCTGCCTGGAGCCTTGTGGCCTTTGCATTTTCTATTTTATGCTTCTATTAAGTATTCAAAATAAAAGTTATAAAAGTCCATTGTTACTCTCTTAATTAAGGTACTCATGTTAGAAGAGGGGTGCAATTCTGTACAAACTGCATCTGACCCTTTAGTGCTGTATTATAAAAGTATTCATACTAACAACTGGTTTATTCATATTTTCTACAGAAAGTTGAAAGGTACATGGCAGAAAATAGTTAAATGTATGTGGTTTGAGTTAAAGGAGAAATAATCAACTGGGAGTTTGTTTTATATTTAGTTTAAATGAAATTAATTTATTAAAAATTACATTAGTTTGAAATGTAACTTGTTATATTAGGAAATGGGAAGCAGAATTAAGGTCATTCCACTTTTATGATCCCATGAAGTCTAGTGTCTAAAGGTTTCATCTGTTTGGTTGTCCCAAATGACCCAGATCAAATTAAATTGAAAGTAGGGGCTGTGGGAGAGAGAGTTTGTGCTTGGCATATATAAGGCCCTTGATTTGCTTCCAAGCACTAAAGCTAATGTATTAAAATTAACAATGCTTACCCCAGAGCCCCAAAACTAGAATGCATCAGAAAAGCAAGAGTTCCGGTGTGGTCTGAATGAAAATAGTCTCCATAGGTCCATACACTTGAATGCTTGGTCTCCCGTAGGTGAAACTGTTTGGGATGAATGAAGAGTTGAGGCCTCGTTGAAGGAGGTGTTATCGATGGGGCTAGCTCTGAGGTTTCAAAAGCCTACTCCATTCCTAGTGCGGCTCTCTGCTCCTGTTTGTGAGCCAATATGTGAGCTCTCAGCACTGTTTCAGCAGTATGCCTACCTGCCTGTTGCCATGCCTCTGCCATTGTGATCATGCACTCACTCACCCTCTGAAACGCTAATCAAGCCCCCAATTAAATGTTTTCTTCTGTATGCTGCCTTGGTCATGTTTTCTCTTCATAGCATTATAAAAATAACTAAGATACAGGTCTTACTCTATAGCCCGAGCCTCAAAATCAGAGATCCACCTGCCTTTGCCTCCTGAATGCTCAGATTAAATGTGTGTGCTACCTGCCCCTCAGACCCTGAAAACCTTATTTTTAAAACTATTCAGGCCACGTGGTAGTAGCATATACCTTTAATACCAGCACTCAGAAGGTAGAGGCAGGCAAACCTCCGTGAGTTCAAGGACAGGCTCCAAAAACAAAAAAGACAAAACAACAATAATAATTAAAAAAAAAAAAACATGGTATCTTTTTTTTTTTTCTTTTCAGGAACTAAATCAGGTGATAATAGGGATAGATAGCTACATCATTAAAATGCTATAGCTTATTATAGGGTGCTAAATAAGCCAAAATAATTCATTCATCATATACTCAGTTTGCAGTCCCAGCAGGAATAATCTTCATTAATGAGTCC